GGATAGCAGCTCACTGTGAACTGCATGTTGATTGAACTCATCCACTGGATGAGACAGGATTCAATTGTCAGTTTCGAAACCCATTTTCAACCATAAACAGTCGCGTGTCCACATTGCCTATATGAATTCGAGAGGTTTCTAGCTGCTAGCTAATAATATGACTCACTCAAGATCGTTTCAAGTGGCTGAATATGCCCATGGTAGTCATGAGAACGAAGAAGGTAGCTAGCGAAGCTTGTTTTCTGTGATTGTTGCTATTTGCTAATACGTCTTTCTGGACGTTGGCTTCTACTGTCCTGTGGCATACACATAAATCTTTTCCACTCCGGAGAAACCACTCATGGAAGCAGTCAGTTTTGCTTGGTCCCGTGAACTACAGCCCAGTGGTAGTATTCCGCTTTTTGAGGGATCACTCATTGGAAGAGACCACATCTAACTGGGCCAACTAGGTCGTCTGTTTGGGAGACAGCCGAATTAGATTTTTGGCTTTGAATTATGCGGTTTGGAATACTTTATGATTACGTAAAAAAATCAAGTGAATAAACAAGTGGTTGTTTCAGTGACAGAGGCAGAGATGTCCCTGACTTTTAGTGAGAAAAAACCCGAATGGAAGGGAAATTGTCTCAGTTCAATTTTTAGTGGACCAAACTTGTTTTCAAAGAACCCTCGGACACAGAAGTCACTCGCCGCTGGCCCGGTGTACTCGATAACATGGATAAGACGGTTGAACACAGAGAAAAGACAACGACGTTCCACCAATTTAGACGGACGCACTTCATGAATAGTTTGTTCCTCGCTGGCTGATTGCATATTGTGTAATACTGTTTAAAGATTTCCGCATCTGATTCTATCGTGGCCCATGTGGTTCAGGCAACCCCCATGAATTTCAAATAAAAAAAACTAACTTGGAACTGCTCATACATAGCGTGAAGAAATGCGGTTGAGGACGAGACACGCCAGTTGTTCGCGGCCTTGCTGACATAGGCACGGATACAGTTGTTGTCGATTCAGTCTAAATATGAGTCGCACTGAGAGCGACGCATTGGTTTCGAAGTCGATTGAATCGGTTGCTATGGTCCCATCGTCAATCCGCAGCCGTAATTACTTCAGCCAAACGGCCAACTGTCGGTCTGTTGCTAACCCTTCAGAGGTGAGGTAAAGAGAGCTTGACCTAATTAAGTGACCGAGCAAGCAGACACGTGTGCGGTAAGAAGCCTATTCACGCCCAACCGAATTTTATTTGATCCGTCCGAATTAATTGGCCCACGGTCACTCTCTCACGGTGAGTTGCAATCGACGGCTTGGCTACCGGCCAATAACTGTTTCGCACTGATATGAAAGAGGAGAGAAAACAAGAGCAAGTAAAGTCAAGCCAGTTTGCTTCAGAAAACCACCACGACTGAATTCAGCCACGTGGTGCTGTTACCTATTATAACTGCAAGACTCATTATTTCGTTTAACAAGCGAATGCGAAAGGTACGTTGAAATTAGTAAGTTACTAGCCATATAAAATTGGAACAGTCCCAAATTATTAGGAATTTATATGTAACTGTTCGAAATGTTATCCGAATCATATTTTCATTAATGTCACGATTATCAACAGCGACAACTTTAGGCAACGTAGTGATGGTAACCGAGAGTTTCATGGCTTCTTTGTTTTAGTGTGTCATCCCACAAAGACAGAATTAGAGTAGTCGAGGCAAGGTTTTGGTAATCCTTACAGCTTAGATGTTGCTTGCTAATGAATAACACACAGCAGGTTAGGATCGAGACTAGTTCCACGAGAAACCATATCATTTTGGTGGGTAAGCAGATGAGGAACCGGGCGGTGCCCAGATATCAGCCTAAAAAGCAAACAGTACGCCTTACAAGTTGAAGACTTTTGGCCGTCTCGCTGTTACTCTGAATGGATCTTCAGGTAGCCAGGAGGCTCAACATTTCTGTAGGTGAGCGCTCGTAGTTTTCGACGTTCCCGTTGCAAAAAACACGTAAAATTCTCGACCATGCTTGTGTCACCATTTTGGCTGTTTCCTCCAGGTTGTTTTTCACGGTACACACCTTCAAAGGTTTGGCTCAGTGAACCAAGATAGCCGAGGAACAAACAAAGGAAGAAGAGCACGTGCGGAAATTTTATCATGATGTTCGCATTTAGATTTCATGTGACCGACCGAGTCCTCAAAAGCAATAAACATATGAACAATACATTTTAATACAGGATGGCTACCGAAATTTTCAAAATTCAAAAGCATTCTAAATATGAATCATGTGATGGAAAACAACACAGAATTTTCGTTATTTCAACATTTTAGTCGTTCATCTTCAGCTAAATTACATGATAATTATTACTTTAAACAATGTTGAAATAAGTTGATCTGAATGATCGACTAGTATACTTTGCTTGTTCAGAACGTCCTGCCTTGATACATTTGTGAGACGATTTGAATAGAGTCCAAAAATGCCTTGATAGAGACCGTTAAATAGCTCAATGTCATGTTGACTTATCACAAGGGACGCGCCAGCTATGACGCAAATGCTGAGAGGTTGCACAGGTTTAAAGGCATTTTAAGTGGTCATCCTTAATTTCCAGAATTTCTCATCAAACCACTGCAAGCATTTTTCTAACCAAGCTATAAAGTATGAGGAAGTCCGGAATAAAAAAATCCCGGATGAGATAACTTAGAAGAACTCGTTAAAGTTGAATTCAACTGGAAACGTTTTGGTCAGTTGCCAGTCCTTGATAAGAGGTTTCGCTAAGTGTTTGCTTGGTGTCTAAACAGGGATCTGCAAACCTTTCAAATCACGGACCGGAAAAGAAACAAATACCGGCGACAGGGTCTTTCAAACTGATGCCGATCCCCGGGAAATTGTTTCACAAAGTTGCTCTGGAATTACATCAGCAGATTAGAGCTGCGAATGTTTATGCCGATACACTTGTCTCCCTCAGGAATGGCCATCCTAAGAAGCGGTGTAAAGTAAGCCTTCCTGAGAGTTAACTCTTAAACAGAACCAGTGGAAAACAGTAGAGAAATTCATAAGAAAGAATCTTGGCTCTTGCTGCTAACACACCATTACTTGTAAATACCTTACAGTGCTCACTTTACAGTACCTAAAGACCTATTGGTTCCCAACCTCCTGCATCTTTCCTCGACTTAGGACGTTTCCCTCAGTGTCAGTTAGCACACCAATGACTTCATCTAACTGAGCTGCCTTGTCATCAAGTCGTGGTCGAAATTCTTTTGATTACCCAAAGTCATGATCTGGCTTTTTGAAAATGAACCATAGTGAATGGCTAACAGACGTTTCTAGTTGACATTGACACGTGTTATTACTGTGAAGATCCGGTTGGGTCCCAGGAAACTCAGCTGAACGTGATCTTTCTTACTGACCCCGGAACCCTTTAGGTATACTTCGATGATATCCGTCATGGACAGAAGGCTTCACTTAGCGGAACTCACATACTAACTTCCAAACTCACGTTAGATACAAAGCTCACAGTTTAGTGATTACCAGGTCGGACGTGCAGATGGAAAATTGAGATAATCAGTTTGGTCACTTATCTGATGATAGACTGTTCGCTTTAGTCAAAAGTTGACTAAACCAAGACGATTTTCCGCGCCATCGCTCTTGACCGGACTGATTATGGATGGGTTTTGGCTCAAGCTCCACGCACGTGATATCACGTGTTTGTCATCTCTCTTATTTTACTTTGTGCGCTTTAATATATATATATATATATATATATATACTTATGAATATGGAACGAACTCCTCACAGATACAATCATTTTGTGTCCCTATAAGAATATCTTCACATCTTAATACCTGAATAATTTGGCGCACACGTTTGCGGTGGCAGAAGGATTTTAGTGGTCATACGGTTACGTCATCATTCTAATGTATCGGTAATAACAAGAGCGACTGCTTTATGCCTTTAACCAGCACGGGCGACATAAAAAAAAGTCGTCACAGTAACCAGTCTCTATCCTACGGACAGTCGGGGCAGTTTCCCATTTCCTAATCTGTTTGTCCCCAGGAAGGACGTATGGATAAGTTTCCACCTGTTCTAATATATTAGAACTGCTGCGTACAAGTACACATAAGTATCCATCTTTTTCCCCTTCGATGATATGGGCTCGGGCAGCAGCTCAGGCACCCAGCCCTTAAAACTGCAGTTGACACGTTGGCTTTCCGAGCTTTCCAGTTGAAACATTTTGGATGGATCCCTCTTGACAGATCTGTTACATATAACTGCAGAGATGTAGTCTCAATTTATAGGCTCCACAGTAATATCCAGGTCGATATACAGTGACTAGGACTCGGGAGGTACACCGGTGTCGTAGGTCGGATGCTTTCCCATGCTAAGAATCCTCCAAGTGCAAGCGACACAGAATATTATCGTAAAAGATAGTCTGCTGACAGATCTGCTAACTCAACACACCCAACAACTCCAGTGTGCACTGGTTACAACACTGGCTCGGATACGATCCTCTTCTGAGACAGTAAAGCCGAGAAATCCAGTGGATGATTCTACACGAACAATGTGCACGCCCTCCCCCTGCTACAGGATTCAACGACGTGCACTCATCTTTCTTTAAGAGGTCTACCCTAGGTTCAACAGTGAAACGGGATAACTTTAGTTATATCAGACTATTGGCCCCTAACTGCATAACTTCCAAAACGTCCTTCTTTCTCAGTCGCTATATTTTACTCATTGAATTAGTCGCCTCACATATAGGTATAGTTTCTTTAGTCTGAGCAGATATCCATCGCGGTACCTGGTCAGTGTTGTCAAGCTCAAGTCCTTGTAATTTTAGCAATGAGTCACGGACATTAAAAATCTTTCGATCCAATTTGTAATATCTATTTCTCTGTCGTTCAGTTGGTGATTTCGAGCCTTGTTCTGTTCTAGGAGCCTAGTTCCATTTTCCAAAACTCTCACCCAGCAATAGGCCGTCTGCTATCTCGTGCCAGTTGGTGAAGCAGCGTCGCCCACCCTTTTACATGTCCGAAACTTCTGACGAATCAGCCGTCGTAGTTCTTCAGAATATCAGCTTTAAGAGCCGCGCCGAAACATCTCACGGGTTTCGTGCGGTAAACAACTGCTTCCGGTCCATCCGGTTCGCTCTACATGACCAGGCATATGAAACCAGCCAGCAGAGAGAAAATTCCGCCCGTCATCTTGACACCTCAACGACGGCTGAAGATCAGCAAGGCTGCCTGTCCTACCTGCTGCTGGCTTTTCAAAGCGGATACGTAGCTTTGGTCCGTCGTACTGGTCATAACGTTCATTCATACCGTCTTCAGGCCCGTCTGTCTACATCGGCGCATCGAATGTTGAACTTGCCCACTCCCGAGTCACACTCAAACACGACAACTCGTCCATGTCCCAATTCTGGGTCCCAAAACTGATCAGCTGTTGCTGTGCTGAGGCGTAGTTCTTTTTTGCTGGTCTCCAGGTTGCCCCTGTTGGACTGTAGAGTGAATGATGTGGAACTGTTTTTCGGGGGTTTTGGCATACTATAGTTAATTCTAGCTCTTTTCGACTGCCACGACTGTATCTAAGTTACAACGTAATTGCGCGGGTCGCATACGATCACCAGCATCTGCCGTGGTCGCGGTTGATTTGCAAATAATCGCGATTTGAATCATGGATCTTGAATGGGTTTCAAGACTGTGGTCATAGAGCTATCGGCTGAATACGTTGACATATGTTAACAAGCATAGGGTTGTCTTGAGGTCTACCGCGTTTTCTCTAGTGTGGCCGCATGTCCTCAACTTGGATTTGGAGACCGGTGTTCTCCTTACTCATTTATCGCCTGTCACTGGTTTACTGGATGCTGAATCTTTCAAGCAGCGCAAGCATGCTGACATCATTATGGTCGGGTATACTTTGAGCATCTAACATTGCAGGCAAGACTGAACATACTCGTGAAATGTTCTCAAGGACTTTACTGGTTTATCAGTATCTTAAAATATTATGACTGTCTGTTCTTGATGTCTTTTAAATAAAAGATTGACTTTTAGCGTTTCTAGGCTAACAAAAGGCCTATACTCGCGGCATTTAGGAGGGAAGAAAACAAGCAGGGTAGAAAATTGTACCCAGTAAATTCAGGGCCCTGTCTTCATAGGTGCCAAAGAAGTCGCCACGGTGACGATAAATTTTTAAGGCAGATAGGTTTTAGTGTGCCCGCCTGTTTACCCCGGAGTTCGTTTGAAGAAATCGGCCGTTCAAACGAGAGTGGTTATGAACAAAAATACCTATCCCACAAAACCCCAAAATCTCAGATAACACGGCGGTTAGACTTCAATAGTGACACCTTGCTTTGAAGGTGGAAGCTTTCAATGGACAATTACACAGGACAATAATGGAATCGGCTCCGAAGTCCAAAAACGGTTTGCTTCGCACTTTATACGCGAGAAAATGTTGCTGTTTGTCTTCTCCTGTGAATCAGGGATATACCGGATGACTACTACTAATCGAAACTAGGGAAACTCAGTGAGATTTCTTAGGTCATTATGAACGAGGTTTCTTTGGAGAGTGCTCGAAGCTGGTGAGAACCTTGACTGGATTATTGATGTCTGAGAGGCCATTAGCAAAACCAATTTCTCACTTTGAGCACGGATCATCAGTGATGTATGTGAAATCCCCACAACAGATCTTCTCGGAAGTTCAGTTTTGCTTCTTGATCATGAAAGGGAAGTCTTCAGCAATCAGGTCTTCAGGTGTACTGGATTCTTGGATCACTGTCACCAAAAGCTTATTATAAGATCCTTCTTGGCCGATTTTTCCAAAACCTATAATACACACAGAAGTCAATGTAATGCTAAATTTTCCTGATACATTCGGTTTCGACGTTTCTCTTGCCGCTTAGTGCACTGCCAACACTAGTTCTTCATGAATGCCATTTGGAAACCCGGATACAGAATACTGGAGTTGATCACAATGTGACACAGGAATAATATGTGAGTGTACTGTGACAGCGATGCACAGCTTTTAGGTTTTAACAATAGCTTGATTCCAAACAAACGTTGGGGTGAGGGACACCGAAAAACCCATATAAAAGATGATCGACTAAAAAACATGTACACACATTTTGAAGGCTCTAGCGCCACTAATAAGACTTCAGTTTGTCCTCTCCATACTTCGCCTGCATATGTACACAAGAGTTAGTAGAATGACGACGAATAAGGCCTGTTTGAGAACAGAAAGTAGCCTAACCCAGTGGATTCAAATCATTGATGGGATTACTTTGTGCTACTGTTATTAAATCAGTAGCATGTATGAGATGACAACAATAACTATGGGCAAGTCGGTGTCGGGTACCGGCGAAGCAGTGACGTACAATTCACAAACTTTTGTTCTGATAAACATTCGTACATTGCGCCGTAAAATCATAGACATTATTCACAGTGAAGTTAGTATTCCCCATCTGAATTAACTTCCAGTAATCATCGAAATTACTCACCAAATTCCCTTGCGTCTTTTCCCAGAATGAGATAGCTATCGTAGCTCTTGCCTGGTAAATTTTTGGCAACTGCAACAAGATCTAGCTACTTGTAGACACCAGTAGTCGATAGCCTCTAACGCTTGATTATTAGTTTACGCTCTCTTATGACCGTACGAAACGGGAAAGTAGAATCTACTTGAGGGACAATGATCCCTTTCGCACACTGATTTGTTATATATTCCACTCAACGATTCACACATAAATCATTAGGGATACCAGTGGTGGTGTGGAATACTAATGAGGTTTTAGGCAGGAATGAATTTATTTTGGAGTAAGTGAGCGCATGCATTATGTTGGTGTCCAAAAAATCGCGAAAAATTCAACACGTGACGTGTTACATGAGCGAATAATCCACCGGCAAGTAATGTCGGTAAGAATAAACTATCAAATACGAAGTGAGAGACACTCAAAACTAAGTTGATTGGTGTAATGAGATCTGAGTTTTGTTAAGGATGTGAGTTCACTTATTGTAGGAGCTTGAATCTTGAAATCTTGAAATCTTAATGGCTAAAAATTCATGTGCTGCTTATAAACAGGTCACTTTGTATTTTGTTTTGTAGACTCAAACAACCAGATACCGCACATGATCCTCAGATGGACCGGACTGGTGTTGAAGATTCTCAACCTTCAGAGATCCTGCCGCAAACTCAGTAAACTGTACGGCTTGCTGGGTTGGTCCACTGATAATGCCGTCTGATTGGATCCAACAAAACTGGTCCGCAGCGTACGCAGACGAGTAAGAGTTTTCTGACCCAGAAAGGATGCAATCGACGTCCAGTGCACTTCAGATTTTACTAAAACAGTTTTCCCAAATATAAGCATTAACATTTAAGAAGCCATAAAATTGGCACTTCTGGAGATGTACCTCAAGGACTTGAAAGTCATGACATCTGGAATCAGTTTGCTGCATTTGTTGGAATGAAAAGGCAAACAGCTGCCGGGTTAGTGAAGGCAGGAGGATCCAGAAGTCAGCTTAGGTATACAGTTTTTTGAAGAAGCACGCTATAAATCGATTTTGGTTGGGAAAGTTTTGTTGGGGTGAAAAAGATACAGCGGTATTACACCACCTTGACTTTATACCAGCCTTGTTGAAAAATTAGCTTCCATTTAACTTATCGGTATTCGGCATTCGGCACCCAAATTGCTGGTATTTGATTCGGCACAACTCATGTGTCCGTGATATCTTCTGGTCTGATGCCAGCAACACGGTCTATCGCACTGAAGCTGTGATACTTCGAATAATAATCTGTTTAATTAACGGAATCGGTAAGTGTGTGAATGACTCACCCTTATGTGTCTGTGATTACAGCAAATGAACATTTTAACGAATGAGTAAGCAAAAATGCCCGAAATCACTAGGTCATAGTACTGTTATCCAGTTACAATATCGAGTAGCTTTAATTGAACGTGGCCACTACACTTCTACTAACCGACGGTGGCATGAGAACTATATTGCGAAATACCCCACCCCCGAAATGGGTTGATTCGGCTAATTCGCATCATCCTACAAGAACAAGCTTCTATTGCTTTCAACAAATGGAAGAAGTTGGGGTCAGTTGAGAAGTTTAGCGTTTCAGAAGGCTTTCGTAATCCAGTGATTGTTTGCCAAGCCCTTCTGAAAGAAAGCTTCCACTGCGTTCAGTGAAATTGTTTGCCGCTGCTTCCGAGTGCAAGCCGCTATTGTAACAATCATTCAAATATTGGGATACATTTGGCCTTAAGTCTGTTTTCCGGTTTGAAAAGAGGTGATGCCTAAGTAGTGACGAACAGAGTCCATTAATATTTCTAGTGATGTTCGACAGAGAACGATATAATTGGCTTGAGTAGATTGTCATCAAAAGTGATTTTACTGAAGGCTTTGTGATAATGAAAAACTCCGCAACTAAATCCAGTGTCAACAGCCAACAATAAAACCGCGCCTATGATTATTTTTAGGAAGCCAGGATTACAACACACGATTTCCGTGTTTTACAAGCGTTTACAAAGGTTTAAAACTAGGAATAAGTTAGTGCTCCAGCTGAGTTGCTTGGAATTCTCGCACACAATACTGTCGATTTTGAAGACTGAATTAATCGCTCTAAATTTAACCGGGAAATACCAGTAAAAGGAAGAAGGTCTTTGCTGCGGAGCTATTTGTTGGAAAATGCCAACTAACCTGTTGCAGACTATTGAACAGGGAATCAAAACTCTCCTTTGCATCTTATTTACAAAAACTGGACATCCATTTTCTCCTGAACGCGTCTTCTTGAACTTTCCTGGATATTCATTAACTTCCGTCATTTATTGCTCAAATCCAAACAAATGTTACGAAGTGACTCCACAACTTCCGCAACAGATCTCCCCTTTTCAAGAGACGCAAAACAAAATTCCAAGAACAATATATACTACTCGCGTACCTCCCCCTCAGTAGTATCACCGTTACACCAGTACCAATTTCTCGGTGGCTTGCTTGGAACATGGCACACCACCAAGGTGAATTAATTTACAGATTTTTCTAAAACAACACAGTGCATTATGAGGAGGTCAAGGTCGTTTTTCGGTTCCATGTACGATGATGCCAGAAGATCACTGGGTCAGTGTTAGCCAACTAAATAGAACCAGATTGACGGGTGGCCGAAGACCAGGAAGTAAGTACAACCCTTTTTTGCAGTGATGAATACAGCTGACATCAGGATGTACAACTGATCTAATTGCTGAGCAAACCGAACCCATATAAAGAAAAATTTACTTCCATTTCTAAAAATAAGGGGTGACAGTTTGCAGAAGTCTTGTTTTAATCTTATACAAACATTGTGCGTTTGCAGTCACGCATAACAGTCGATCAGTCATTCAATAGAAACTGAGCGCCGAAATGCTCAAATCAGTCCACCGTATGGGTTATACAACAGCTGGAAGTAGGCT